CTCCTGACTGACTCCCAGAAGGCCAAAGCCTCACGCTGACCTCGGGATGCTGAGAGTGTAGGTTTGACAACAGCAGCCTTGTGCTCTATGGAGGGGTGTTGGGTTTGACCCATTTCTACCCAAATGATGCCGGGACATTCTGTCAGCCTGTCCTCACGTGGCAGCAGGACTGGAAGCTCAGGCTGAACAGTTGAGTGCCTGCCCTTCCTTACCTGTGTAACACACCTGGACAGGACGGGCACAATCTGCTGCTTCAGAAATTCCCAGGGTTTGGCTTGTCCCCACGGGCAGGCAAACACATTCCCACAGCTCAGAGTTCTCTGGGAGGCCTGGAGTTGGGGGTCTGGCTGTGGCTCCCAGCCCTCTGGGCTCCCCAGGGTGCCAGTCCCTGGGGAGAGGTACCTGTGCAAAGCCCCAGGGATTGCTCTGTGCCCAGCAGGGACACGAGGAGATACTGAAGGGAGAAAAACTCACTCAAAATATCAAATCTTTGCACAGGCAGCACTACCAGGAGTGTACAGAGCTTGCATTTGTTTGGGGATTGTTCAGCTGTTTGTGTTTCCTGCAGCAGTTCCAATGATGGCTTTATTGCTAATTAACCCTAGGATTAGTGTGTAACTGATTTAATTGCTGCATTTCATCTTTCACAAGAGCAAATACAAATACCTCCTGCATTCCTGGGCAAGTTTCTGTTAAAACTCTTAATTACTGCTCAAGTGGCTTGGGTGGTCTTTCTAATGTTTAATATCCCAGCATTGCCTCTTTTCTAACAGTTAATTATTTTCATAGTGAACTACTGAATGCCACATGCATTAGAGGAACAAAATTAAAAGACAATGACCTGGCAGAGGGAGGAAAAGGGGGAAAAGCTTCTCCTTCCAAACCAGGGAGAAGGCACAGAGGGGGCCAAACTCATGGATTGTGAACTCCGTGGCCAGTCCTGCTCTGGAATAAGCTCCTCAGTTGGCTCAGGGATATTTGACTGCAGAGTAGGGAGCTTCAAACCAGGGCTAAATAAAGTGGTTTTCTGTCAGGATACCCTGTCCCTTCCTTCCATTCAACAGATTTTGGTGGTTTTTTTAGATTATCTGCTTATCCTGGAGCAACATGGACACTCTGGCAGCTGAATCTGCTTTCAGCTGGTGGCAATACCTACAAATACCTCATCTCCTGTGCCTTGGCAGTGTTCCCAAAGCAATACTGGAATATTTTCCCTTGGGCTCAGGAGTTCGTTTCTACCCAAACATTTCACAAAGGCTGTCACAGAATAGTGTGAATTGGAAGGGACCCACAGGGATCATCGAGTCCAGCTCCTGAGTGGCCCCTCCAGGGATCAAACCCACACCCTTGGTGTTATTAGCACCGGGCTCTAACCACACACAGTCCTAAGAAAGGTTTCCCCTTCCACAAGCTGGTGCCTACTGCCAGTAAAAACTGATTTTCTAACTCCTGATACCCCAAGCTCGAGGCCCAGAGGACATTTCAGGGATCCCCTTCCCCATCTGCACCCCCAGCCCCATCTGCTCCCAGATCTGCCAGTTCCTTCTCAAAAACGCCCCTGAAGGGGATTTCAGGTGCCTCAGTTTCCCTCATACACTCACTTTTATACTTCATTTTCAATCAAGAAGCTGTATTTCAGTACAAGCTTTTGGTTAGAACAGTATGAGTTGGGCTGGGTTGTGAGGTTTTGGGGTGGTTTTTCCAAAAAAAAGATGATTTATGCATTACAGAAAACAGTGTAGGTTTGATCAATACTGGGAACTGGAACTTTTTTGATCTGTTTGTGCAAGATTGCAGGAAATAACACCGATAGCAGAGCGAGGTATTCCTTAAGTGTGAGCCCAGAGGAGACAATGTTACACCACCAAGCCCCAAACCAGTCCCTGGGGAGCTGGAATGCCTTGAGGGCAATGGGAAGCTCAGCACTGATCAAATAAAAGACAACAGCTCCACTCTCCTGGATCATAAGTCTCTCTGAACAAAGCAAATGTAACCAGCACCTCCAGGCACACCCGGCTCTTGGGAGTTATTTGCAGTTTCTACCCCTGAGTCTGGACAACTTGAACCCCATTGTGGGGGTCTTGGGGTTCCCTCTCATCTGCAACACCTCTCACATCCATCCACTCCTGCTGCTTTCCAAATGAGGGAGTTTGAAACCAATGAGTGAGCCCTGATATAAAAAGGAAAAAAGATAATAAGTAATAACCAACTGTGTGGAGTTTGACAAGGGTAAGTGCCAGATCCTGCCCCTGGGATGGGCAGTGTTGGATGCAGGGACAGACTGGGGAAGGAGGGACTGGGGAACAGCACCAGGGGAAGGGCCCTGGGGGTCCTGGTCAGTGGCCAGTTGGATCTGAGTCAGCAGAGTGTCCTGGCAGCCCAAA